AGGTGTTCGATGTAGATGCCCCTGGACCATCGGATGGTGTCCGAGACCATGTTCTACACCAAATCCAAGAGCTCCCTAGCCCACAGAGGAATTTCTTCCCACCTCCATGAAGAATTCCTGACTTCCCCTGGGGCTAAACAAAGGAAATCAAACTGCCCACTCAGGACTTGCGCCGCAGGAGGAAACACACATGTAACTGTCTTACCAGCCTCTCTTTGCTTTGTCTGTGACAGATTCAGCCATGGGTTGCTTATGGGTTCTGGGTTGCTTATGGGTTCCCTGTACATCAAAGGGCAGCAGCCTGGGTAACTGCCTCCAGGAGAAGAGCTCTCTCCATTTTTCGACCATTCTTCAAGACATTCACAACCTGGCTGTCAGACTCCCCACAGATGAGGAACCAGCTCCTGGGGCAGGTTAAGGTGGCAAAAGTAAAACCTTTCTGACCTTGCAGATGAGACAGCTGGAGTGCACAATACACACACCATTCCTTCTCCATCCTGGATACAGACCAGGAGGAACAGAGCTTTGGTCTTCCATTTGGACCTTTCTCCAGCATCCTCCTAGTCTGAGCTGCCAGGGGGAAGGGGTTACAGTAATTCCAGGCAGGAGACAAACCGACTCTTCAGGGTGTTTTTTTTGTTTTTTAATTCTCTCTCTTGCAGTAGATGTTACAAGACGCAGAACAAAACTAAGGAGTCTCCAGAATGCGGGGACTAGTCCCATGTCAGCTGTCCAAGCAGCTCAGATTCTACTCCCTATAGCTACAGACTGGTGAGGACCCATACTGAAGACCTGTGGCCGTACCCCTGAGAGAGAAGAGGTGACACGGACAAAAAAAAAAAACAGAAGAGGAGGGGACAAAGCAATTGCCACACCTGGATAGACCGATGTCCATCTAGCTCAGTTTACTGCCTCTGAAGTATCAGAGGAAAGTGCAAGGAACTCCAAAGTGGATAACTTTATTCATTGTCTTACAGCAATGCCTAGCGGCCCCAACTCATCAGATCTCATACAAATAGGTAGTGAGAGTCTCAACCCCAGAGAGATGACAATCTAAATACCCAAGACAAACAAGGAGGTAAGAAAAAGTTTCTTCCTAACCCCTGATACTTAGTAGCTGGCTTAGGCCCAGTAGAAGAGGGTTTATGTACCTGGTATTAAAACCATACATATTTTACTTCTATTTCATAAAGGAATAAGCAAGTAGAAGTGCTAAATGAACTCGGGCAGTGCTTCCCAAACTGCAGTCCACAGAGAGCCAGCCGGTCAAATGAGTCTGTCTGCTAAAAATCACCTTAGAAGAAATTAAAATACATTAAAAGCTTTCCCCAATACTCGCTTTCCAAGCAAGCAAGCGCGGCTGTTCCCCGCGGGACACGACGCCGCGGGGGCAGGGGGCCCGCGCTCTGCGACAGGGGCTGAGCCTGGAGCCTCGCCTCCGGCACCGTAGCCCCTTCCCTCCCGCTCGCCGCCCCTCCGGCTGGGAGCCCCCGCCCAAAGCGCGCGGGGGCGGCGTCGGCCGTAGGGCCCCTGGGCCGGGCCCGGAACGCTGGGCCGGAGCCCGCCCCCCACACGGGGAGCCGCGCCCCCCACACGGGGAACCGCCCCCCCACACGGGGAACCGCCCCCCCACACGGGGAGCCGCGCCCCCCCACACGGGGAACCGCCCCCCCACACGGGGAGCCGCGCCCCCCCACACGGGGAACCGCCCCCCCACACGGGGAGCCGCGCCCCCCCACGGGGAACCGCCCCCCCACACGGGGAGCCGCGCCCCCCCACACGGGGAGCCGCCGACCGCGGGGGCCGGGAGGGACCCCGGGGGGTCACCGCCGCATCCCCACCGGCGGGCGGGGGATCGGGCCGGGGGGAACCAGCCGCTCGGCGCGTGGCAGGGCCTGCGCCAGGCGCCCCCGCCTGGGCCCGGTCACCGCCCGGCCCGCCCGCGCGCGCGCCCCTCCCCCTCACGGGCGCGCCCCTCCCCCCGCCGGCGCAGGGCGGTTCTCACCGGCTCCAGCTGGCGCCGCGCTTTCCCGCGCTCAGGCCCGCGCCCCCGCCGCGCAGTCACCGGCCTTCGCTCCCGCCCAGCTCGCGGCCCGCACCCCACGTGATCCGGGCTGGCCAGCCAATCCGCTGCGCTCCTCTCGCACCCGGGCACGTGGCGCTCGGCGGCCGCTGATTGGCTGCTGGGGGTTGGGGTGGGCGGGCGCCAGGCCGGCGTCGCGGGAAGGGAGGGAAACGAAACCGAAAGGCGGCAGCGGGCTGCGGGTTGCACCGGGACAGCGCTCAGGGGCTCGCGGGGGGCGGGGCCTGGCGCCTCGAAGTGACTCCGCTCGTTGGGGGGGTCCCCACGCCCAGCCCCCGTCAGAACAGCGTCACCCCGCCCCCCACGTCACCCCTCACATCACCCCCCGCCCCCCACATCAACCCCCGCCCCTTCCCCCCCCCCGAGCCCTCTACCCCCCGCCCCCACCCCCCCCCCCCCCCCACGTCACCCCCCGCCCTCACATCAATCCCTGCCCCCCATCATCCCCCTGCCCCCACATCACCCCCCGCCCCATCACCCCCTGCCCCCCACATCAACCCCTGCCTCCAACATCACCCCCTACCCCCCACATCACCCCCTGCCCCCAATGTCACCGCCCGCCCCCACATCACCTCTGCCCCTGAGCGGCCTCTGACCCCCCCGCCCCCACATCACCCCTGCCCCCCACATCACCCGCAGCCCCCGAGCAGCCTCTGACCCCCTGTGACGTTCTGAGCGTGACATAATATCTCATGGAAAGGTGACAGGGCCAGAAAGAGCCAATGAACTCCCAGGGCGAGCTGAGCCGCGGCCAGACTGTAGAGACTGGTTGTGAACAGAGCCGTGAACTGCAGCCGGCTTGTTAGAGAGAGAAGGGGAGATGTTTGCTCAGGTCTTGTGATGTCCACAAACAAGTCTTGTCTATGGCTATGGCTTTGATTCAAAGATCAAAAAGGGAATATTGACATTTAGGAAGACACTGGAGTGACAGAGTATTATTGTCTATGTCTCTTTGAAGGTTGTGGTAACCTGTGTCTGAACTGTTTAATGGATAAATGACCCTGGGCTAATTGCCAGGATGTTTGGGAGAAGGAAAGTCAAGCCGATTGTTTTCTCAGGCCAAAAGGCTGCAGGAAATGTATAAAACCCTGGGACATGATCCTTCTTCATCTCAGATCTGCTTTGGGTTTCAAGAGGGGGAAACCTTAAGCCATCAGGATTGAGATCCCCAGTCACTGACAGGAGTCACCCTGAACATGGCCATTGGACTATAACCCCTGGACTATTTCTAAAAGGACTTTTGGCAACTACAAGCTCATCTCTGCTCTGTATCTGGACCTCAAGAATTGAATCCAAGTCTCTCTGTATATTGATCTTTTAACCAACGAGCTCTCTCTTTTCTTTTTTAATAAATTTTAGCTTAGATAACAAGGATTGACTGTAAGCGTGTATTTCGAGTAAGATCTGAGTTATCATTCAACCTGGGTCTGGGGCTTGGTCCCTTGGGGTCAGAAGAACCTTTCTGAGGATGAAATAAGATTTTCAGAGTTTATCATCCTATGGTTGACAGGTGTGTCTGGATGGAGGCCTGAGGCTGGCTACTTTAAGGGAACTGCGTTGTTTGGACGTCTGAGTACCCAGGGAGGTGCTGTAGAAGCTGCTTTGGGCTGGCTAGGTAAATCTAACCATTGCAATATCCATCAGCGTTTGGGGTTTGTCTGCCCCGGTCTGTTTGCAGTTCACCCTGATTGAGTGACCTCAGCTGGCTCCCACGGGCAGCACCATCACACCCCCGGCCCGGGAATGTGGCAGGGGAGTTTCACTGAGGATGAGAGACCTGAGAGCCTGTAACCTGAGCCAGGAGGGCATGGGAGAGGTAACACCTCTGCCCGGGAATGTGGCAGAGGCTGCAGGAGAGAGCCTGATGGGGGGGTTTGGTTTCAGTTAGGTGCTGGGTGGTGGAACGCAGGGAACCCCAGGGCTGGGGTCTAAGCTCCCTGCTACCCCAGAAGGACTTGACTGAGGGGTCCTGGTTGTACCCACAAGCTCTGTTTTAGACTGTGTTCCTATTGTCCAATAAACCTTCTGTTTTACTGGCTGGCTGAGAGTCACAGTGAATCCCAGGAAGAGCGGTGCAGGGCCCGGACTCCCCCACATTCCGTGACAGGCTATTACTTTTTTCCCTGATCTTTTTGGCACATTTCTTTAACTACTAACCATTTCTTACTTTGAACTGCCTGGAGAATTTGTGAAATCCAGATTTCAAAGCATGGCCAGAGCAGTCACGGGGGTAAATTTTCAAAGGGACAAAGGGCAGTTACGTGGCTCATGCCCCATTTTTTCCAAGTGGTACCCTCTAGAGTAGCTGCTGTGCCACTCCCCCGCTTCACCATTGCCCCCTCCCTGAAATTACCCCTGCTTCCCAGAGCAAACACTACCCCCGGAGACAAACCATGCAGACACTGCCCCCCCCCCAACCCCCTCAGGGCAGATATTGTACCATTTCCCCTCTCCAGAACCGACGTTGTACTCGCGTGGACAAAGGCGATCATGGTTTCAAGAGGGGATAAGAGAACACTTCCTTCCAGGGATCTGATCCTGAGAAAAAATGCTAAGGCCAGCGCTGAAAGGCCATTCACCCCTTGCGTAGCTCCGTTGACTTCAGTGGAGTTTGAACATTGCTCAAGATCTAGCGCCTCAACAAGCCTCCTCTGTAACCTCCACTCGCCCACTGGCCAGGGCATGTTTTCATCCTCCCTCCTGTCTTCTTACGCATGAAGGTGCTGCCTCCCCTGCTCCCCGGGGTTCCCCTTCCTGCAGACGGGAGCAGGGATGGGAGCAGAGATTAATTTCCCACATATTTCCACAGTCCCTTTTGCTGATGGAACTAGGAGTTTGGAACAGAGCTTTATCCAATCAATGATTCTTCATCACATTTCAAGAAAAGGGAAGAGGAGACAGTAATGGAGTCTGAAGCTATTGACTAGAACAATCCTGATTCCACATTTATTATTTCCCCAGTGCGTTTTGTTTTGTGTGGCTTGCTCCATCCAGTTGTTGGTGTATAACTCTCAGCTGGGCCTCCCATCTTTACCATACATATAGACTACAGTTTATTTAGTTTCCTTATAGCCAGACCTAGAAGAGCCCATTATCATTCTGCATTCAATGGCCTCTGCTCATTATCAAGTCTGGGAGTCAGGCCGATGCAGAGCCATCTTGGGTAGCCATGTCTTCAGGGATAGCTATCTGCAAGTGAGAACTTTGGGATGAAATATTTCTGGACTTTCTGATGCATGGAGATGAATGTATTTTGTGAAGCTGGCGTGTCAGAATCAGGTGGAAATGGGTTCAGGTTGATTCTTGGCACTGGCAATTTAATAGCATGTACAAATCCCGTCAACAAAGGGAGTGGAAAAATGCGCGGAAGGTAGAAACCTGGGTTTGAAGGGGAGAAACAAAAATATATTAAGAATAAAAAAGAAATGCCATAGTTCTGAATAGTGCTGTGTGACTGCTATTTCTTTCCATCATGTGTGTTCCTACCTATGGCCAAAATAGATGGCGGTGTGTTACCCAAATGTCGTATGTTCATATATACATTTATGATGTATACCTAAGACTGCCAATTGTGCACCTAATGGAACTGCACTTTCACACAAGAGAACCCCTGTCCCCCACCTGACTGGTGAAAAGTTTTTCAGGTCACTATTAACATGGGAGAGAGACAGGCTACAAAGAGGGGAGAGGCAGAGAAAATCAGGGAGAAGGTGGTGAGAGCCACTACTTACGCTGGGATGGTCTCCTTCGCGCCATAGTGTTGGTCTCTCCTAGCCGCAAGATGGCCTGGCTCCTGGCACAGAAACAGTCGTTATTCTCTGCACTCTGCAGTGCTGGAAACTCTTTTTCTTAGACATGGAGGTGGGTGTGAAGGGAAACCCACGAGTGCCGGCCTGCTCCTGGCTGGTAGTATGACATCCCGCCCCGTAAAGCTGCTAGGTGTGATTTCTCACTGCAGTTTTACCAAACGGCGTGCAATATGGGGGTGGCCAAAGTGCAACCCATAGAATCCTGCGGTGTAATGTGAACCACTCTTATCCTATTAATGACATGTGCACTGTAGTGACCACAGGCCCCAGCACATAATGCTCCAACCTTGCCTCTTGGATACAGATGCAGCATTGCATGCTGGGACCAGTAGGCGTCATCGATCACACCTTTTGTATTAAAGATCAGGGTGGCTACAACCTGCTCCATTTTATGCTCACAAGGCATGGTCCTTAGTGGCAAATGAAGGGGGATGCAATGGAGGATGGTGTGGCCCAGAATAAAGGATAAGGTGAAGGCCTGCCTGGGAACATAGGAATTGGCAGGCTGGATCAGACCCAAGGCCCACCTGATATTTCAGTATCCTCCCTCCGACAGTGGCCAGCACTGGATGTTTCAGAGGAAGGTATAAGAATCCCGCAGACGCGGACGTGGGATAATCTGCCCCCCCATTCGGTCTTGTCCTGGTCTCTGATAGCTAGAGCAGGGCTCAGCAACCTGAGGCATGCGTGCCAAAGGCGGCATGCAAGCCACTTTTTAGTGGCACTCTGCTGCCAGCCGGGGTCCCAGCTGCTGTCCTCACTCAGCCCGCTGCCGGCCTGGGTGAATGGAACTCTGGGCCAGCAGCGGGCTGAGCGGGGCCGGCAGCCGGGACCCCGGCTGGCAGGGGTCGGCGGACGGAACCCCACACTGGCAGTGGGCTGAGCTGCTCAGCCCGCTGCTGGTCTGAGGTTCCGTCTGCCGCCCGCACTGCTGGTCTGGGGTTCTGGCCGCCGGCCCCTGCCAGCCGGGGTCCCAGCCGCTGGTACCGCTCTGCCCGCTGCCAGTCTGGGGTTCCGTCAGGGGGCCCCTGTAAATGTAAAATTTATTACTGGCAGACGAAACCTGAAATTAATGAAGACTTGGCACGCCACTTCTCAAAGGTTGCCGACTCCTAAGCTAGAGATTGACTTAAGCCCTGAAGCAGGAAGTCTAATGCCCACTCCAGAATTTGTTATCGTTAATCAAAACAACTCTGGATATTTTGATGCCATATAGATGTCCAATCCCTTTTTTAATCCTGGCCTCAATGACTTCCTGTAGCAGGGAGATCCACAGGCTGTTCACACATGGGGTGTGAATAAGTATTTCCTTTCCTCGGTTTTGAATGTCCCACCTTTTCATTTCACTGCATGCTCACTTGTTTTTGTGATCCGAGACAAGGAGAACTTTGATCCCGTGGCACAACGGGACAAAGTTTAGAGAAACAATTTCTTGCTACTGTGAGTGACTGTTTCATGGAAAAGCTAGAACATGCGAGAGGAGATATTCTTCACTTGGACCTAAGATACACACAGGAGTTCATTCAAGAAGTGACAGCAGCTGAGTCGCTAAGAAACAGGGATGAGATAGCATTAGGCTCACCATCCCAGAGCCAGGTAGTGTACCAAGAAGAGCTGGCCCCACAGGGAAGTTGAGCTGGTTAAATTCCCCTTGTCATGTGCCTGCTTAGAGCTGATGGGATGGGGCTCATAGGAGAACAGCACAACGTGAACAAAAATAAAATGAAACAATCTAATATTGCTTTAAAATCAGTTTAATCTAACCTAAGTTCACATCTACCCTGCAATAACACCAGCTGCCTTGGGCTCGGGCTGCAGGGCTCGGGCTGGGCTCTGGGCTGCCACAAGGGGGCAGGGTCCTAGAGCCCACGTCTCCCCTACGATTTCATAGCCCCGCAAGCGGCATGCACCCGAGTCAGCTGACACAGGCCAGCTGTGGATGTTTGGTGCAGTGTAGATGTAGCTTAAGGCTTCAAACACTATTTGACACTAATAATTAGACAGTTATCGCACTGCATCCCTGCAGGGTACAGTGAAGGTTGTTCGGGTGCCTTAATATCTTAACAAGTTTAGACTTCTTTTAAATTTAACCCTACGGCTGAACGGGGTGTGGCTCCAACTCCTGGCACATTTTCTGAAGCCAGGCTCTGTTTTATTGCTCTGTAACACACCCAGCATTGTTCTGGGCACGACAGAAGTAAGAATAAGAGCAGTACAAAGCAACCAGACTCCACCTCCTCCCAGCACCCTAAAGAGCATGCTACTATCCTTGGCACCATGTGACTTACTTTGCCTACAGGGTTCATAAGAACAAATTGCTGCAGTCCTTTGCAATGACCACACAAAGCCCTGTGAGCAAAGCCACTGTGACCACGCAGCCTGCACTGGCCTCCTAAGTTCACATACCTCCTCCTGTTGCATAGGGTGACCAGATGTCCCGTTTTATAGAGACAGTCCCTTTTTGGGGGGACTTTTTCTTATATAGGCGCCTATTACCTCCCACCCCATGTCCTGGTTTTTCACAGTTACTATCTGGTCACCTCCTGTTGCATAACTTACCTCCCAATGAAAGGCAAGGCCATCACTGTGTTCTTGGTTTCCTGTGCTCCAGCAGATTTTGGCTGTTTCAGATTCTCCAAATCCCTCTTCATTTGCACTTTACAGAAATGGTTTATTGCGTCTATTGGCCCCAGTGACAGCTCTGAGCTGCCAGCAGATGGAAAAACCTTGCTCCTGCCTGCAGCTGTCTTAGCCTGCAAAAGGAGTGACAGATGCCGATTAACAACAGCAAGGGCTGCCTGCCTAGTGCAGGAGCTGCCGCAGGCATGACAGTGCTTCAAAATGACATGCTGCACGTGGGAGACGGGAAGGCACCCGAGCTTCTGCCCGGTGCATTGGGCACTGCAGTGGTTACACCCGGTATAAAGGGCTGTTTCTGTTATACAGGAGAAAGATCCTTTGAAAGTGACAGGAAAATCCATCCTGCAGAAGCCTCGCCACACGAATAGACTGCACCCTCACCATGGTATCCGAGCCCGCAGGACACTTCCTCCCTGACGGCCAGGGCACTAGCTCTGGACGTTGCTTTGTGGGTCTGCTCACCCGGCCAGCAACTGGGGCGGTGGGGTCACGGCTCCTCTCTTCTGCGGGAGCCGCCTGTGCCGGCTCTGCTCAGGATCTGTAACTACATCACTGCAGGCGGGGCCGGTGCAAGGATGTTTTGCACCCGAGGCGAAACTTCCACCTCCCACCCCCACTCCGCCCTGAGGCGCCCCCCCGCGGCAGCTCCCCGCTGCCCCCTCGGGGGCCGTGTGGCTACTCCCCCCGTCCCCTCGGCCCGGGGAGCCATGCGGCAACTCCCCGCCCCAGCTCACCTCTGCTCCGCCTCCTCCCCGAGCACACTGCTGCTTCTCCCGCCTCCCAGGCCTGCGGCGCCCATCAGCCGTTTGGCGCCACAAGCCTGGGAGGGAGAGAAGCAGAGCAGGGCGGTGCGCTCAGAGGAGGAGGCAGAGCAAAGGTGAGCTGGGGCAGGGAGCGGTGCCCCTGCGCACAGCCCCCCCACCCCTATTACTTGCTGCAGGCGGCCCTCCCCTGGCCCCCCTGCCCCAGCTCACCTCCGCTCCACCGCCGCCCCGGAGCGCACTCTTGGCCACCCCCAACCACTTGGCACCCTAGGTGACCGCCTAGTTCGCCTGTTGGTTGCGCTAGCCCTGATTACAGGGCTAAGGCTGCAGATACTTGGGGAGAGGAGGAAGCAGCTGGAGCAGAGAGCTGGCGGTGGGCCTTGTCCTGGCATTGAGACGTACGGTCTGGGAGACACTGGGCCATGCAACAGGAGCTTGGCTTGAAGACACCTCCACGGCACTGGCCTCACCTCTGGGCTGCTGTCAGAGAAGCGCCTTTTCCCCACCCGTGCCTGCAACGGCTCCAGCACGCTGCTCCTGTGATCCTGGAGCAAACAGACGTAACCAGTCAGACCTGAACCTCCCCATTCCCACCAACCCCCAAACTCACAGAATCTCTTCATATAACCTGGGACTGGTTTGCTTCGATCCCACAACCTGCGGGCAGGCAGCGGTGGAGAAAACACCGGAGCAGGCAGGAGGAGGCCAGGATCAGGAAGGAAGCAGCTGGGAGAGCCTGAAGCAGAAACTTTCCAGCCCCTTTCTGCTTTGCTGCCTGACACGTTATTACCGTGATGAGCATTCGTATCACACCAGCAACGTGCTGGGCTGCAGCCCGAGGCCCGAAGAGAAGGGCCCTGCTGCAGAAGCTCCCGAGCTGGACAGAGCATCCAAATGGAGCGGGGGTGGGGAGTCTGAGGTGGCAGCAGGACTCAGCTGGCCACGTTTCTATAATAAGATTTTCAGCCTCCACGTGAGGACCCTCGTCTGAGGAGGGACTAAGGAGGGCAGCCTGTGAGCACAGCCGCTTTGGGAGGGTGAGCCAGGCCTCCAAGCTCTGCAGATTCCCCTTTCTCTGAACTAGCCCCCCTCTCTCTAGGGGTTGGTCTACACTTAAAACCTGCACTGGCCTAGCCATGTCAGTCGGGGTGTGAAAAACCCACACCCTGGAGAGACGTCACAATGCCAACCTAACCCCAGCGTAGACAGCACGAGGTCGGCCGAGGAATTCTCCCCTTGGCCTAGCTACACCTCTCGGGCAGGTGAATTAACTCCGACAATAAGGGCCCCTCCCCTCAGCCACTACAGCATTTCAAGTGTAGACGAGGCTTAGCCTGCTCCCTCGCTCCCCAGGAGCGCCTTCCCCAGCCCCGGCCTGCTGGTCTTTACACATGCATAATTGCTAGAGGGAAGAGACGACGACCCCACTGGGGTCCCTGCCTGGCCGCTGCTTTGAGCCCCCTGCACTAGAGCTCACAGCCCCTGGGGGGCCGGGCAGTGGTTACTTGCTTCCCACTGGCAGGAACAGACCCTCCCATGCTGAAGAGCCAAACTCCCGGTGTGCTGTCATTCCAGGCAGCCCAGGCCCAGCCCTCGGCGGGAGGGACAGCACCTGGAAATCCTGCATCGCTCCTTCAAGCCACTGTGCGCAGATTCTCCTCAGCGCTGCCTTGGTGACAGGCTTCTCCCTGGAAAGGTCCCAAGAGTCCATCTCCTGGTAGAAATAGCGATGTGGATCCTCCAGGCCCAGCTCTATGAAAAGAGCCTTAATGGACTGCCTGAGAGCACGGGAGAAACCAGCGTTGGGAAGACATTTGTCCCTCCCCTTGGAAGCTGATGCTAGCTCAGCGAGCTCCCCAGTGTGTCCCCTGGAGGCCAGGCGAGCTGGCTTGCAGTGCGAGCCTCTGGCAGCATCAGACTGATGCCCTGTGACGATGTGAGGCAGCAGGGAGGGGGGAGTGTTGACCTGGGAATGTGCCCTGGGGAGGGGAGACCTGAGAGCCTGTCACCTGAGCCAGGATGGGGAGGGGGAGGTAACACCTCTGCCCAGGAATGTGGACGGAGGCTGCAGAAGGGAGCCTGCTGGGGGGGTTTAGTTTCAGTTTGGGGCTGGGTGGAGGAACGCAGGGAACCCCAGGGCTGGGATCTAAGCTCCCTGCTCCCCCAGAAGGACTTGACTGAGGGGTCCAGGGTGTACCCACAAGCTCTGTTTTGGACTGTGTTCCTGTTGTCCAATAAACCTTCTGTTTTAGTGGCTGGCTGAGAGTCTCTGTGAATCCCAGGAAGAGGGGTGCAGGGCCTGGACTCCCCCACACTCCGTGACAGGCCCCCAGGGACAGACGAGCTGCGAGCGGCTTGTGCTGTGTGTATGCCCCACCTGACAGGCCCGGGGGGGGGAGGGGAGCCTTTCCTCCCTTTAGATGAGGGGGTTGGAAGTGGTTCTCTGTTGCCTTGAGCCGTGATGGCTGGTGGGCCCAGCTCCCGCAGCAACCGCCTGCTCTGTGCCCCACGCCCTGCCGCAGGGGGTTGAGTTTAGCCCCGAGCCACACTATGTATTATGGGACGTCTCAGATCACACCTTGGCATGTAACATGGCAGCGTGCTAAATTCAAACACACGGGCAGTGTAGGGCAGCGGGGGCCAGCCTCACGCCCTGCCTGCATCCCCACTTCCTTCCTGCACCGCCTGTCCACATTCCCCAGTGGTGGGCTCCTCCTGAGAGATGGAAATGTGAACCAAAGTGCTCTTGGACCCCAGGCCAGCCAGAACTCAGATCCTCAGACCAAGGGGATGTGGGCTTAAATCTGTCACTGCGTGTCAGGGGGTCTCCAAGTCCCTCTCTCACTACACGCTGGCCTGAGCCTGAACCCTCAGCCCCAAGCATCCCGGCGCGTTGCAACGTGCCCAGCCGTTTGCAGGCTCTCCTTTGCTCTGGGGCTGGCTGGCTTCCCCTAAGGACGGGGGCTAACACAGAAGTGAAGGGCCCCTAGGCCCCCCACCACAGACGCTGAGTTCCCAGGCACGGACTCTTCTCCTTTCGACAGGGTCCAATGGGCATCTCCTACGTGCGAGCACGTCCAGGAGCACCTGCACGCCCATGACCCTCCCCGCCAGATCAGTGATAGCGAGAGGGAGACGCAGGATTCGATGCAGGGGCGCAGACAGCCAGGGCTGCACAGGACCCTCTCGCCAAGGGTGGGGAGACTGTGCAGAGAGGAAGCAGAGGGGAAAGAGGTGACCTGGGCCTGCCCTCATTCTGTCCTGGAGGGGCGCAGAGTTAGCCACAACTGGAATATGTTCATGACAGGTGCTACCATGTTGAGCAGCACTGGCTACTCCTCAGCTTTGGTCTTGGCTGTGCTCCCTGCCCGCTCACTGGATCGAGTGCCGCACCCCCGGGATCTCCGACAGAGCCCTTTGATTGGGGGAACAGGCACAGGAGGGGTTTGGCTAGTACTGACTGGGGATAGCCTATGAGTGCAGCACAGCCCTGGTGCAGGGCACTTTACCCAGACTTCCCTCATCTAGAGCAACCAGTGTCCCCCAGCAATGGAGCCCAAAGCTCACCCTTGTCATGGAGGCCAGGAGTCTGAGGTCACTGACGGAGTGCGTGGCTCCGTGCCCCCAGCCCACCCTTCACACTGCATGCTGGTCATCCCTGCACGCAGCCAGCCCCTCACCTGCTGGAGATGGGACTGTGCAGGAAGTATGCCATAAGCTCCAGCAGCAGCTCCTTACTGTCTCTGCAGAAGGCCATGAGGGCATTCAGGGAGGTCAGGACAAACTTTTTCTGCATCTTTTCCTGAGAAGAGAGAAGACAGAGCATTAGCCTGCCCCAGTCCCAGCGAGGAAGAAGCTTCCCCCATGGGATGCCCGGAGGCTCAGGCTGGGACTAGCAACCGAAGAACGAGAAAAACCTATTCACGTGGCAGCATGCTGGCTGATGGCGAAGTGGCAGCCAGATATGGTACGGAGCACAGGAGTTCAGGAGGCCCCTAGGGCAGGGGCATGTGGGGGGAATTCTCCTTCTTCCCTTTGAAGACCTTTGAGTCAGGGCTGCTGAGACCCTCCCTCTCTCAGAGGCCTGTAGCAGAGAGCCAGGAAGCAGCAGGCGGCTGGACTGTCATGACCCAGCGCAGACAGAAGGCACTAGGTAAATAGACACAGCCATGCACTGCAAATGCTAACGAGCACTCCATCCCGAACCGGCACAGACTGTCCCCTCAGCAGGCTGATACAAGATCCCACTTGCGCTTGGTGCATGCACACAAGCACATCAAATACCAGTTTGTATGAGGAGGGGTCCACGTTCCCCCGCGGGGCCATCTGGACACATTCTTCACTTCCTCTCCTAACGCACTGCGCACCATTGCCGTGCACTGAGGATCTTACCCAGTTCCCATCACAGTCTGCCATTGCCTTCAGTGAAGGCTGGATCTGATCCTGACCATGGCGTCTGCTACGTCCGGGGGCTGCACGCCGGGGGTGGGGGGGTCGTGCCTGAAGTTTGTGAAGTGCTTTGAGATCCTTTGGTGAGACAGGCGATATTATCCCCATGCGTGCACCAAGCACAAACACCCTGGTGCAGAGCTCCACGCACATACCTTGCACCACACGTACCAGGGCGTGTGCCCAGCACAGGGGCACAAGACACTGCCATGCATGGCCTCTGGTCAGCCATACCCATGGGCAAAGGGAACAGTTCCTGGTTTGATGTCAGCACCCTGCCTCGTTCCTTCCTAAGGGCTGGGTGGGAACGACACTAACTAGCCTGTCACCACCTCTTGTTGTGGCCTTTCTACGGGTCTCGGCTTCTCCTAACTGACCCTTCACCACTTTGTTCTCAATCTGATCAATTCATTGAGCTCCACCTCAGACTGAGACTCTCAGCCCCTCAATTCTAGGACTTGCAGCTTCCTTGGGTCTCCTGGTTGATTTCCTGGAGGCAATCTGGTGTGTTACCCCCTTGCTGTCTCAGGCCTTTCTGCCTCTCGCCCCGTCTCTGGCCTCTCCCCTTTGTAGCAGGTCTGGTTTTCTCTGTTGGTGGCAGAGGTGGATGCCTGTCTCCATGACTGGTGGCTCTGGCAGCTGCGTGGGGTTGTGATCAGACTGCTGGGCTGGAGGCAGGAGAGATGCTCTCCTCCCCTCTGACTGTGCTCCAGATGAGCCCCGTTACACAGCCACTCCTTTTAGTTCTGCTTCCAGCTCCCTGGAGATCATTGTGGGTGGCCAGGAAACTACAGGTTCTCCAGAGCTAGCAACCAATCCCCATCAGTTCTGAGGGCTCCAAGCTATACCCAGAGTAGGGTGACCAGACAGCAAATGTGAAAAATCGGGACAGGGGGTGGGGGGTAATAGGTGCCTATAGAAGATAAAGCCCCAAATATCGAGACTGTCCCTATAAAATTGGGACATCTGGGCACCCTAACCCAGAGGGAGCCGTTTCAGACCATCCTGGGGAGCGGGTGGGGAAGGATTACCACTGCCCTTTCCCACCCAAGTGCTGCAGAGCACTGGTGTGCAGGGGTGCAGTTAGCACGGCCCTGGGGCATGCTAACCCTTCTGAACCCCGGGATCCTTACCTGCAGTTTGGGCGGGTCGCTCTTGTTCAGGATGAGCAGCAGGGCCTTGCAGACCTCACGGCCGTTCTCCACCCCGACCTGCTCATGCAGCGTTAGGATGGCCTGGACTATGTAAGTCTTTGCACTGTAATCCACGGAGAGCAGCGCCTCCAGGAGCTGGCGCACAAACCCGCTCATGCTCAGTCCCTGCAGGGAATCCTGGCAAGGGGCAAAGGGGACACTCTGAGACACTCCTTTCCCCTTTCCTCCTTTCTATGTGTGGGGAGAAAATGAGCCTGCTCAGGGGCTCTGGGGGGGTCACACCCCCAATCCCACGCCAGCTGCCCGACTTTCTGCCATGGCAAGGCACGCGCAGGTGCAGCTTTGCAGGGTTTCGGTAGGAGTTGGAGGCGCAAGTGGTGTTCTTGTCCATCCTCCCCGTGGAAGGAAAAGGCCGGGGCAGGGACCGTCGAATCGTGGAAGTCAACGAATGGCTACGCAGGTGGTGTCGGAGAGAAGGCTTTGGATTCTTTGACCATGGGATGGTGTTATATAAAGGAGGAGTGCTGGGCAGAGACGGGCTCCACCTAACGAAGAGAGGGAAGAGCATCTTTGTGAGCAGGCTGGCTAACCTAGTGAGGAGGGCTTTAAACTAGGTTCACTGGGGAAGGAGACCAAAGCCCTGAGGTAAGTGGGAAAGCGGGATACCGGGAGGAAGCACAGGCAGGAGCGTGTGAGAGGGGAGGGCTCCTACCTCAAACTGAGAATGAGGGGCGATCAGCAGGTTATCTCAAGTGCCTATATACAAATGCACAAAGTCTGGGAAACAAGCAGGGTGAACTGGAGGTCCTAGTAATGTCAAGGAATTATGACGTGATTGGAATAACAGAGACTTGGTGGGATAACTCACATGACTGGAGTACTGTCATGGATGGGTATAAACTGTTCAGGAAGGACAGGCAGGGCAGAAAAGGTGGGGGAGTTGCACTGTATGTAAGGGAGCAGTATAACTGCTCAGAGCTCCGGTATGAAACTGCAGAAAAACCTGAGTGTCTGGATTAAGTTTAGAAGTGTGAACAACAAGAGTGATGTAGTGATGGGAGTCTGCTATAGACCACCGGACCAGGGAGATGAGGTGGATGAGGCTTTCTTCCGGCAACTCACAGAAGCTACTAGATCGCATGCCCTGGTTCTCATGGGAGACTTCAATCATCCTGATATCTGCTGGGAGAGCAATACAGCGGTGCATAGACAATCCAGGAAGTTTTTGGAAAGCGTAGGGGACAATTTCCTGGTGCAAGTGCTGGAGGAGCCAACTAGGGGGGGAGCTTTTCTTGACCTGCTGCTCACAAACCGGGAAGAATTAGTGGGGGAAGCAAAAGTGGATGGAAATCTGGGAGGCAGTGACCATGACTTGGTCGAGTTCAGGATCCTGACACAGGGAAGAAAGGTAAGCAGCAGAATACGGACCCTGGACTTCAGAAAAGCAGACTTCGACTCCCTCAGGGAACTGATGGGTACGATCCCCTGCGGGGATAACATGAAGGGGAAAGGAGTCCAGGAGAGCTGGCTGTATTTCAAGGAATCCCTATTGAGGTTACAGGGACAAACCATCCCGATGTGTCGAAAGAATAGTAAATATGGCAGGCGACCAGCTTGGCTTAACGGTAAAATCCTTGCGGATCTTAAACATAAAAAAAGAAGCTTACAAGAAGTGGAAGATTGGACAGATGACCAGGGAAGAGTATAAAAATATTGCTCGGTCATGTAGGAATGAAATCAGGAGGGCCAAATCACACCTGGAGCTGCAGCTAGCAAGAGATGTTAAGAGTAACAAGAAGGGTTTCTTCAGGTATGTTGGCAACAAGAAGAAAGCCAAGGAAAGTGTGGGCCCCTTACTGAATGAGGGAGGCAACCTAGTGACAGAGGATGTGGAAAAAGCTAATGTACTCAATGCTTTCTTCGCCTCTGTCTTCACGAACAAGGTCAGCTCTCGGACTGCTGCCTGGGCAACACAGCATTGGGAGTAGGTGGCCAGCCCTCTGTGGAGAAAGAGGTGGTTAGGGACTATTTAGAAAAGCTGGACGTGCACAAGTCCATGGGGCTGGATGCATTGCATCCAAGAATGCTAAAGGAATTGGCGGCTGTGATTGCAGAGCCATTGGCCATTATCTCTGAAAACTCGTGGCGAACGGGGGAAGTCCCGGATGACTGGAAAAAGGCTAATGTAGTGCCAATCTTTAAAAAAGGGAAGGAGGAGGATCCTGGGAACTACAGGCCAGTCAGCCTCACCTCAGTCCCCTGAAAAATCATGGAGCAGGTCCTCAAGGAATCTATCCTGAAGCACTTACACGAGAGGAAAGTGATCAGGAACAGTCAGCATGGATTCACCAAGGGAAGGTCATGCCTGACTAATCTAATCGCCTTCTATGATGAGATTACTGGTTCTGTGGATGAAGGGAAAGCAGTGGATGTATTGTTTCTTGATTTTAGCAATGCTTTCGACACGGTCTCCCACAGTATTCTTGTCAGCAAGTTAAAGAAGTATGGGCTGGATGAATGCACTATAAGGTGGGTAGAAAGTTGGCTAGATTGTCGGGGTCAACGGGTAGTGATCAATGGCTCCACGTCTAGTTGGCAGCCGGTATCAAGTGGAGTGCCCCAAGGGTTGGTCCTGGGGCCGGTTTTGTTCAATATCTTCATAAATGATCTGGAGGATGGAGTGGATTGCACTCTCAGCAAATTTGCGGATGATACTAAGCTAGGAGGAGTGGTAGATACGGTGGCAGGTAGGGATAGGATACAGAGGGACCTAGACAAATTGGAGGATTGAGCCAAAAGAAATCTGATGAGGTTCAACAAGGATAAGTGCAGGGTCCTGCACTTAGGATGGAAGAATCCCATGCACAGACTTTGGACCGAATGGCTCGGCAAAAGTTCTGCTGAAAAGGACCTAGGGGTGACAGTGGACGAGAAGCTGGATAGGAGTCAGCAGTGTGCCCTTGTTGCCAAGAAGGCCAATGGCATTTTGGGATGTATAAGTAGGGGCATAGCGAGCAGATCGAGGGACGTGATCGTTCCCCTCTATTCGACATTGGTGAGGCCTCATCTGGAGTACTGTGTCCAGTTTTGGGCCCCACACTACAAGAAGGATGTGGATAAATTGGAGAGAGTCCCGCGAAGGGCAACAAAAATGATTAGGGGTCTGGAACACATGACTTATGAGGAGAGGCTGAGGGAGCTGGGATTGTTTAGCCTGCAGAAGAGAAGAATGAGGGGGGATTTGATAGCTGCTTTCAACTACCTGAGAGGTGGTTCCAAAGAGGATAGTTCTAGACTATTCTCAGTGGTAGAAGATGACAGGACAAGGAGTAATGGTCTCAAGTTGCAGTGGCGGAGGTTTAGGTTGGATATTAGGAAAAACTTTTTCACTAGGAGGGTGGTGAAACACTGGAATGCGTTACCTAGGGAGGTGGTAGAATCTCCTTCCTTAGAAGTTTTTAAGGTCAGGCTTGAAAAAGCCCTGGCTGGGATGATTTAATTGGGGATTGGTCCTGCTTTGAGCAGGGGGTTGGACTAGATGACCTCCTGAGGTCCCTTCCAACCCTGATATTCTATGATTCTATGATCCTATGAAACGAGGCAGTGAAATTCATCAAGCCACAGAAATTAAAGTTTACTAAGCTAACCTCTGCGGTCTCCCGGGGAGAAGCGAAATGGCCTTTCAGCCTCTCGCAAGAGGCGGGAGAACGCGAAGCGGTAGCCAGTGCTGTGTGTGCACAGAGAGCCCTCCCCATGCTGTGCTGGCATGGGCCCTTCTTGCCTGCTGCCAGGGCTGAAGAGTCAGAACTCCTGGCGCCGGGGTTAACGCCAGTCCATCGATGGACAGCTTCTAAACCACACATCATAACAATACCTGGCACTCTGCTAGCTCTGTAGCCTCCCAGTGCCGGGCCACTGTTAACTGGCTAAACCTCAGAGCCCCGTGAAATAGCTCCGTCTATTACCCACTCTGTTGGGGCACTGGCTTGCGCTCGGTCACACGGCAAGCCTGTGCCACAGACGGGGTTAACCCTCGGGCGCTCCTAGCTCCCAGTCCTGTACTCTGCTCACTCGGCCACACTGCTGTGTTTGGCCAGTGACACAGACCGAGGCAGCGTCTCACCATTGAGCTGAGGACGGGGTAGATCTGCCTGAACCATTCTGTGTCCTCGAACTGGAGGATGAAGGATGGTATCTCGCCTCCAGAGGCAGAGGCCTGGGGCTGCTCAAACTCATCCGGCTGCGTCAGGAAAAAACTCGTCACACTCTGAAACAAAAGCAAAGGTGAGCCAGGAGAGCCAGCCCAGAGCCACGCAGGCCAGCCCAGAGCTAGCCCGGAGCCACGCAGGCCAGCCCGGAGCCAGCCCGGCGCCATGCAGGCCAGCCCAAAGGTAGCCCAGAGCCACACAGGCCAGCCAGAGACTGCCCAGAGCCATGCAGGCCAGCCCAGAGACTGCCCGGAGCCACGCAGGCCAGCTTGCTAGAGGTGACGAGAGCCTGGGGCAGCATAAAGAGGCCCTTTACAGGCCTCTGTCATGGAGTGTGGGGGAGTCCAGGCCCTGCATCCCTCTTCCTGGGATTCGCTGTGACTCTCAGCCAGCCAGTAAAACGGAAGGTTTATTGAACAATAGGAACACAGTCTCAAGCAGAGCTTCTGGGTACAACCAGGACCCCTCAGTCAAGTCCTTCTGGGGAAGCAGGGAGCTTAGACCCCAGCCCTGGGGTTCCCTGCGTTCCACCACCCAGCACCAAACTGAAACTAAACCCCCCCAGCAGGCTCCCTCCTGCAGCCTCTGTTCACATTCCCCTCCCCCTCCTGGCTCAGGTGACAGGCTCTCAGGTCTCCCATTGAAACTCCCCTGCCACATTCCCAGGTCAACACTCCCCCCTCCCCGCTGCGTCACATCGTCTCTTCTCCCTGAACACGTGTCCTTCACCAGCTATCCCGGGGGTGGCAAAGGGTGCATGCTCAGGGCACCTGGTTTTCAAGAGGAAACATCCCAGCTCAGTAAAAACCACCCTGGGATCAATCTGGGCACAGAGGGGCCAGCTGGCAGATCCCAGACCCCCACTGCAGACACTGCTACAAGTTACCTCCTTCCACTTGGGGACAGGCAGGGAAACGGATATCTTCTCTAGAATCGCCGTTGTCCTGGCCGCCTCGTCCTCTTCCTCCTCGGCGCCCTGCCGCTCCTTGCCGCGCTCAGGGCCTGCCCTCTCCACCTGACCCTAGCGAGGAGGAGGAGGAGCTGCCCCTTTCTGCCTGCTGCTGCACCCACATCCCCCTGGGCTCTGAGAGTCAAGAGGTGGGATCTCCCAGTGTCTGAATGCCGGGGAGGGCAGCCGGCTGTGAGTGCCACAGGGTGGGGCATAGGGTGACACCCGCGCTCCCTGGCTTACCCCAGGGTATAATGCTGGCCCGGGGAGGGCAGCCGGCTGTGAGTGCCACGGGGTAGGGCGTAGGGTGACACCCACGCTCCCTGGCTTACCCCAGGGTATAATGCTGGCCCGGGGAGGGCAGCCGGCTGTGAGTGCCACGGGGTAGGGCGTAGGGTGACACCCGTGCTCCCTGGCTTACCCCAGGGTATAATGCTGGCCCGGGGAGGGCAGCCGGCTGTGAGTGCCACGGGGTAGGGTGTAGGGTGACACCCGTGCTCCCTGGCTTACCCCAGGGTATAATGCTGGCCCGGGGAGGGCAGCTGGCTGTGAGCTGACACAAGACTTGTGGGAAGAGGTGAGAGGTTTTTCGCAGGAGTGAGTGGGTGAAATTCTGTGGCCTGCGTTGTGCAGGTCAGACTAGATGATCATAATGGTCTCTTCTGACCTTAGTATCTATGAATCTATGAATGTAAGAGCCGTGGGAACGGTGTCATTGCAGGAACTCACTGCTCTGCTCTCGTGACTCTGACCTTCGGACAAAAACGAGGCCCTGGGGCTCCCGCCGTAAGCCCAGCCCATGGCCAGGCCAGTCTGGGGCCTTGCTCTGCTCAAGGAGGCTGCCCTGATTCCAAGCCCCGGGGTGGGATGACGGAGCAGTGGGACAGGAGTGTGGAGACCAGCACTGACCACAGCGACTCTCCAGGAGCGAGGCTGGGCTCCTGCCTGATTCCTCTGCCCTGGTCCTTGCAGAGACTCCTCCAGGCTCCTCCTCAGTCACCTCACGCCTCTGGCTGCAGCTCAGCTCCTTCCACTGACAGGGAGGCCGGGAGATACTCTCACTCGGCAAGGGGGTAGGTTTTATGCTGTGTGTATTGAGCAGGTCTCCTGGCTCAGCTTGCAACCCCCATGCCTGCAACATCTGCCTGCCCCGCAGCTGGGAGAGGGCAGCACCACTGGCCTGCCTGCAGTGGGGCCCAGGCCACTGCCCCAGCACCCAGCGGGCCTGGCTGCGGGAGGAGCAGACCAAGAGGCAGGGAGCAGTCTCCCTGCTGGAGCCTGCAGATCACTGCACTGCAGCGCAGGGAATCCCCAGGAGATTCAGGGAGAGCAGGACACACAACGGGGGCTCCAGACCGGAGCCCAGGGGAGAGGCTCCCCTGGGAAACAGCGAGGAGCAGCAGAGTGCTGGGGAGAGGTGTCAGGAGATCTCTGCCTATGGATAGCGCTTTCTCTCTTGGACCATCCGCACCCCTCTACCTGTTGCACTTCCAGCCACGTGGCCTGCAGCGATTCCCTCGAAGACTCTATGTCATCCTGGCTCCGGAACTGCTGCATCACCACCGAATTGGGCAGGAAGCCGGATGACAGCCTGCGGACCTGCAGATGGGACAACTCCTGAGAAACAGAAACAAAACATATCAGAGAGCAGCTCGCGCTCCAGGGGCACGGCAAACCACAGCCACACGGCTGGGCCACAGCCACCACCCACGGGGGATCCGGGCCAGGCCACTTGTCCGGGCTGCCACCACCATCCACGGGGGTTCCGGGCCAGGCCACGCAGCTGGGCCTCAGCCACCATCCCTGGGGGAACCAGGCCAGGCCACACGGCCAGGCTGCAACCACCATCCACGGGGGATCCAGGCCAGGCCACACAGTCAGGCTGCAACCACCACCCACGGGGAACCAGGCCGGGCACAACCACTGCCCCCCGGTGAACAGGGCCAGGAAGCGCGGCTGCTGTGTAATCACTGCCCACGGAGGATCCTGCCACGCCCCTGGGGAACTACACTGGCCTGCACGCCATTCGTGTTCTAGTCTACTTGTCAGCAGTCACAACATGCAGACATGTTCTCTTAAAGAGCCAGTCCGTCCCCAGCAGAACTGGCTTTCTGGGCCAGCTCCAAAATAAGGCTCCCAGAGCTGAGCTGGAGGCCTGTCCCCGTGCACTGCATGGTCTGTGCAGGGCACCCAGGAGGGCCGGGGAATGCTGCATAGCGGCTCCTCCTCCCCTGCCTAATTCTTCAGGGGGTTGTGACAGATCCTCACCCACTGGGGGGGCACCAAGGCCTGGGCGGCCCAGGGGAGGGGCTGACAGGCCCAGAGCAGTAAATGGGAAACAGCTAAGTAGGGAGGAGCTATTCCCCAGAGCAGAAGGACGGGCACGAAAGGGAAGAGATCAGGTGGAGAGGGCAGGCCCTGAGCAGTGTGGATGGCTCCCTGGGCAGTGCGGATGGCTCTGGAGCGATCCGCACGCCTCTGCAGAGCTCTTGGAGAGGAAGGTTCCAGCAGGAGACAACATCAGCACCTTTCACTGGAGAGCTGGGTGCTCGGATGCCCGCTGCATCCCGGCTGGGGTAACGGGCTGGCCTGAGCCGGGACAGCGTGCGTGGCGCTCAGAGCTGGAGGACGCAGAGGTCAGTGAGCTAGACAGCCACAGACAGGGGAAGGAAACATGCCCAGGCCTCGACAGTCAGGGGATCAGAGAGGAGCTAGGCAGTGGTTCTCAACCATTGACCACTGCGGGCTGCATCCAATACTACCTGTATGGCCCTGAGGATGCCCCATGGGCCGCAGCTGTGTGCTGACTGGGCCGGAGGTTGAGAAACACTGAGCTGGGACCTGGGGGTCTTCAGGACCATGGTGGCAGGTGCAGGGCCGGCTGCAGGCACCAGCTTTCCAAGCAGGTGCTTGGGGCGGCAGTCCGTGTCCTGCGGCAGCAATTCGGCGGCAGCCCCGCCACTCTTCCCGCCGCGGCGGCAATTCGGTAGCGACTGCTTGCGGTGGCAAAATGGGCAGGAGTTTGCGGTGGGATCCCCAGCAGGCTTTGCTCAGCTCACATGGGCTCACCTTGGACGTCTGACTGCTGACCTGAGACGCGGAGGGGCCATGGCTGTTGACTTTGGTGATCTGCTGTGAAGGTGACCGGCTGTGGCTGCCGGTGCATTGGCTCTCACTGGCTGCCGCGGCCTCCTGGCGAGCCTGGGGGACCCGGACGCAGAAGGGAGTTATTCCGCTGCTCTGGCTGCATCTGCCCCTTTCTCATTCCTTCCTGTTCCCGGCCCACCTCATGCACCTGTACCCCGGCCGCGGTAGGGGAGGCTGCAGCTCAACAGCTGCCTGGCCGCTCTCTCTTTCCCCCAGCCAGCCTGCCAGCTGCGAGGCTAGAGAGACCCTGCCCCCCAGCCAGCCCACTGAACCCCCGACGCCTGCTCAGCATTCATCCAAGCCCTTACCTGGGATATCTGACTCCGGATCCTTGCCAGCGAGGTGCGGCGCAGGGAGTCTTCCAGCCCTTGAGAAGTGCTGGGGGTCGGAAGCCCTAAAGGTGAGCCCCGGCCTGCGGGAGGCTCCAGGGCGTCCTCTCGGCAAACCCCATCTGCCGCGGGAGCCTGGGGGACAAAGGAGCTCGCTGTCACCGTGCACGTCCCAGGTCCCACGCGCTGCACCTGTGCGGCTGCCTCGTGCACCACCGCCAGGCACCAGGGCAGGAGCTTCCACTGCGGGGCAGGCAGAGCCCACGGGGCCAAACCGCCCGGCAGCCGCCCGCGCTCCGGGGAGCAGCTGCAGCTTTGTGCAGTGGGGCTCGTGACGGGTTGTGTGTCCACAGCACAGCCACGGGGGGCCAGGGGGAGACGGGGGCAGAGAGAACAGGGGAGCCACGGGACACCTGCTCGGGGATGGTGCTTGGACCGGACCTCACCCCCCTCCCTCACCTTCACACCCCTACCCCCGCACACCCCTACCCCCTCACACATCCCCCACACCCCTACCCCCTCACACACACCCCTCACACCCCTACCCCCCCCCCTCCACCCCTACCCCCTCACACATCCCCACACCCCCTACCCCCACCACCCCCTCCACCCCTAGCCCCACACCCCTCACCTTCACACCCCTACCCCCCCACACCCCTCACACCCCTACCCCTCCACACATACACGCCTTACACTCACACCCCTCACCTTCACACTCCTACCCCCTCACACACACCCCTCACCTTCACACCCCTACACCCACACCCCCTACTCCCCTCACCCCCTCCTCACCTTACAACCCTACCCCCTCACACTCCACCCCTCTCCTTCACACCCCTAACCCCCCACACCCCTCCCCTTCACCCACACCTCCTCACACCCCTACCCCTCACACACCCCTCTCCCTCAAACCCCTACCCCCCTCACACACACCCCTACCCCCTGACACACACACACACCATCACACTCACACCCCACCCCTCCACACCTCACCCCTACCCCTCACAAACCTCTCCCCCCACACACACCCCCTACCCCCTCATCCCCTCACACTCACACCCCTCCCTCACCTTCACACCCCTACCCCCCCACACCCCTACCCCCTCACGCACACAGCCCTCACACCCCTACCTCTCACACATCCCCACACTCCCCTACCCCCCACACGCCTCACATTCACACCCCTACCCCCCACACAGCCCTCACACCCCTACCCCCTCACACACACCCCACACACCCCTATCCCCCACACCCCTACCCCCCTCACACATCCCCACACACCCCTATCCCCCACACCCCTCACACCCCTACCCCCTCTCACACACCCCACACAACCCTACCCCCACACCCCTACCCCCCTCACACCCCTCACCCCCCCCATCCCCCTCACACTCACACCTCTACCCCCCCACACCCCTACCCCCTCACGCACACAGCCCTCACACCCCTACCCCCTCACACATCCCCACACACCCCTATCCCCCACACCCCTCACATTCACACCCCTACCCCCCCACACAGCCCTCACACCCCCTACCCCCTCACACACACCCCACACACCCCTATCCCCCACACCCCTACCACCTCACGCAAACACGCCTCACACTCACACCCCCACCTCTACCCCCCACACCCCTACCCCCACACCCCCACACCCCTACCCCCCCACACACAGACCCCTCACCTTCACATCCCTCACCTTCACACCCCTACCCCCCCACACCCCTCACACCCCTACCCTTCCACACATACACGCCTTACACTCACACCCCTCACCTTCACACTCCTACCCCCTCACACACACCCCTCACCTTCACACCCCATACCCCCCCACCCCTCACACACACCCCTCACCTTCACACCCCATACCCCCCACCCCTCACACACACCCCTCACCTTCACACCCCTACACCCACACACCCCTACTCCCCTCACACGCACACTCCTCACCTTCACACCCCTACCCCCTCACACACACTCGTACCCCCCACACCCTCCCCCTCACACACCTCTACCCCGCCACACACACACCCCTCCCCCCTCACACCCCTCACACACACCCCTCCCCCCTCACACACACACCCTTACCTCCCCACCACATACTCCTACCCCCACACACACCCACACCTCTATCCCCCCCACAAACACCTCACCCCCACTTCCCTCACCCACACCCCCACACTGCACACACCTGCTCCTAACCCTGCCCCCACCCCCCACGTGCTCCACACCCTCATCCCCCCATGCCCCTCACTCCTGCCCCCACTCCACTCACCACCCACACCCCCTTCACCTCATCAATCCCAGCCCACACCCTCACTCCCTCTACAGACACACAAACCCCAACCCCCTCATCCCTTCCCCACACACACCCGCCCTCCTGCCACCCCTCACCCCCAATCCATTTCAACCCAGTGGGGCCCCAGAGGGCAACCAAGTGACAGCCCCTCGGGTCTCTGCCAGAGATGGGTCCGACCCGCCCAGAACGGGGCGACTGGCTGGGGTGGGCTGTGGGGCCCTGGGCCCGTGGCCAGCAGAGTCTATTCCTGATCCCGTGACCGGCTGCTACACACACCCCTGCCAGCGCTCGCCCGGCCACGACACCCCAGCCAGCCCCTGCCTGACGCATCCGGCCCCACTGGCACTGCCAGACACTGAATCGCGGCCGTCTACACACCGGCCCGGCCCCACAGCCTGCCTCCCCACGCCTGTTCCCCAAAGACGGGCTCCATTACGGGTGTGCCAGCGGCCCAGGGTGCTCCCTAGGGAGGCGAGTACCAGGGTGAGAGGAAGGGAGGGACTCGGGCGTCTCTGGGACGTCGCTGTCCGACAGACGCGCGGAGAGGGGCGAGGCGGGTGGGTTTGGGGTCCGTGGCGACACCTTCCAGCTTCGTAGCACCGACTCCCCCCGGGAACGTCCCCAGAGACCTGGCAGGCAACAAACTGACATTCCAACCAGGTGGGACCAGGCTGAGCACCGGCACGGCCCCGTGGCGAGTAACGGGCTGGGAGACACAGCAAACTCCCCAGCCTGGCCACGCACCCCCCAGCCAGGGCCCAGCGCCTGGCGGGGAAGGGACAGGAGCAAAGGGAGCTGCGTTGTGAGTCATGTTATCATCTCCTCCAGGGCGGGGATCAGCACACGGGCCTGGCTGCGCTGCTCTCCTGCGGGGCAGCCGCGGGGTCTGACGCAGGGCTCTGGCAGTGGGCACATGGAGGCCAAGTTTGTAAAGGAGAATAATCCCCCCAAGACAGACCCCTCCCAGCCAGTCAGTACCCCCAAGCCAGATTCTCCCTTCTCCTCTATAACTTGCCAGTCACCCCAGGACTGGTCCTTCTCTTTCCCTGTGGTTTATGGACTGTCCTGCCGCTCTCCCCCCACCGCCAAACAGCTGTGAGGCTAGAGAACGTAAGAATCAAAGAACGGCCACACCAGGTCAGACCAATGGTCCATCGAGCCCGGCAGGCGCAGCGGCCAGTGCCAGGTGCTTCAGAGGGAATGAACAGAACAGGGCCATTATCACGGGATCATTGACACGGGAATTGGCGGCTGTGATTGCAGAGCCATTGGCCATTATCTTTGAAAACTCGTGGCGAACCGGGGAAGTCCCGGATGACTGGAAAAAGGCTAATGTAGTGCCCATCTTTAAAAAAGGGAAGGAGGATCCTGGGAACTACAGGCCAGTCAGCCTCACCTCAGTCCCTGGAAAAATCATGGAGCAGGTCCTCAAAGAATCAATCCTGAAGCACTTGCATGAGAGGAAAGTGATCAGGAACAGCCAGCATGGATTCACCAAGGGAAGGTCATGCCTGACTAATCTAATCGCCTTTTATGATGAGATTACTAGTTCTGTGGATGAAGGGAAAGCAGTGGATGTATTGTTTCTTGACTTTAGCAAAGCTTTTGACACGGTCTCACTCTTTGCACTCTCAGCAAATTTGCGGATGATACTAAACTGGGAGGAGTGGTAGATACGCTGGAGGGGAGGGATAGGATACAGAAGGACCTAGACAAATTGGAGGATTGGGCCAAAAGAAATCTGATGAGGTTCAATAAGGATAAGTGCAGGGTCCTGCACTTAGGACGGAAGAACCCAATGCACAGCTACAGACTAGGGACCGAATGGCTAGGCAGCAGTTCTGCGGAAAAGGACCTAGGGGTGACAGTGGACGAGAAGCTGGATATGAGTCAGCAGTGTGCCCTTGTTGCCAAGAAGGCCAATGGCATTTTGGGATGTATAAGTAGGGGCATAGCGAGCAGATCGAGGGACGTGATCGTTCCCCTCTATTCAACATTGGTGAGGCCTCATCTGGAGTACTGTGTCCAGTTTTGGGCCCCACACTTCAAGAAGGATGTGGATAAATTGGAGAGAGTCCAGCGAAGGGCAACAAAAATGATTAGGGGTCTGGAACACATGACTTATGAGGAGAGGCTGAGGGAGCTGGGATTGTTTAGCCTGCAGAAGAGAAGAATGAGGGGGGATTTGATAGCTGCTTTCAACTACCTGAAAGGGGGTTCCAAAGAGGATGGCTCTAGATTGTTCTCAATGGTAGCAGATGACAGAACGAGGAGTAATGGTCTCAAGTTGCAGTGGGGGAGGTTTAGATTGGATATTAGGAAAAACTTTTTCACTAAGAGGGTGGTGAAACACTGGAATGCGTTACCTAGGGAGGTGGTAGAATCTCCTTCCTTAGAGGTTTTTAAGGTCAGGCTTGACAAAGCCCTGGCTGGGATGATTTAACTGGGAATTGGTCCTGCTTCGAGCAGGGGGTTGGACTACATGACCTTCTGGGGTCCCTTCCAACCCTGATATTCTATGATTCTATGATTCGCTGCCATCCCCTCCCAGCTTCTGGCAGTCAGAGGTTTAGGGACACCCAGAACAGCAGGTTGTGTCCCTGCCCATCCTGGCTAATAGCCATTGATGGATCTATCCTCCCTGAACATATCTCATTCTTTTTGGAACCTCCTCCCCCAGCCAGCCCAGAGGTGAGATCAGGTGTATCCCCGACCCCCAGCCAGGCCCGAGGCGAGATCAGATCCGGCAGCAGACCTGCTGCCTTGCCCCAGCCTGCTCGGCGTCGACCCAAGCCCTTACCTGGGATATCTGACTCCGGATCCTTGCCAGCGAGGTGCGGCGCAGGGAGTCTTCCAGCCCTCGAGAAGTGCTGGGGGTCGGAAGCCCTAAAGGTGAGCCCCGGCCTGCGGGAGGCTCCAGGGCGTCCTCTCGGCAAACCCCATCTGCCGCGGGAGCCTGGGGGACAAAGGAGCTCGCTGTCACCGTGCACGTCCCAGGTCCCACGCGCTGCACCTGTGCGGCTGCCTCGTGCACCACCGCCAGGCACCAGGGCAGGAGCTTCCACTGCGGGGCAGGCAGAGCCCACGGGGCCAAACCGCCCGGCAGCCGCCCGCGCTCCGGGGAGCAGCTGCAGCTTTGTGCAGTGGGGCTCGTGACGGGTTGTGTGTCCACAGCACAGCCACGGGGGGGCCAGGGGGAGACGGGGGCAGAGAGAGCAGGGGAGCCACGGGACACCTGCTCGGGGATGGTGCTTGGACCGGACCTCACCCCCCTCCCTCACCTTCACACCCCTACCCCCCGCACACCCCTACCCCCTCACACATCCCCACACACCCCTACCCCCCTCACACACACCCCTCACACCCCTACCCCCCACACCCCTCACACCCCTACCCCCACACACCCCTACCCCCTCACACACCCCTCACACCCCTAGCCCCACACCCCTCACCTTCACACCCCTACCCCCCACACCCCTCACACCCCTACCCCCTCCACACCCCTCACCTTCAACCCACCCCCCACACCACACCCCTCTCCTTCCACCCCTAACCCCCACACACCCCTCCCCTTCACCCACACACTCCCACACCCCTCACACACCCCCTCCCCAAACCCCCTACCCCCCTCACACACCCCCTCCCCCTGACACCCCCACCATCACCCCCACACCCCACCCCTCCACAACCTCACCCCTACCCCCTCACAAACCTCTACCCCGCCACACACACACCCCTACCCCCTCATACCCCTCACACTCACACCCCTCCCCCTCACACACACACCCTTACCTCCCCACCACATACCCCTACCCCCCCCCACACACACACCTCTACCCCCCCACACAACACCTCACCCCCACTTCCCTCACCCACACCCCCCACACTGCACACACCTGCTCCTAACCCTGCCCCCACCCCCTACATGCTCCACACCCTCATCCCCCCATGCCCCTCACTCCTGCCCCCACTTCTCTCACCACCCACACCCCCTTCACCTCATCAATCCCAGCCCACACCCTCACTCCCTCCACAGACACACAAACCCCAACCCCCTCATCCCTTCCCCACACACACCCGCCCTCCTGCCACCCCTCACCCCCAATCCATTTCAACCCAGTGAGGCCCCAGAGGGCAACCAAGCGACAGCCCCTCGGGTCTCTGCCAGAGATGGGTCCGACCCGCCCAGAACGGGGCGACTGGCTGGGGTGGGCTGTGGGGCCCTGGGCCCGTGGCCAGCAGAGTCTATTCCTGATCCCGTGACCGGCTGCTACACACACCCCTGCCAGCGCTCGCCCGGCCACGACACCCCAGCCAGCCCCTGCCTGACGCATCCGGCCCCACTGGCACTGCCAGACACTGAATCGCGGCCGTCTACACACCGGCCCGGCCCCACAGCCTGCCTCCCCACGCCTGTTCCCCAAAGACGGGCTCCATTACGGGTGTGCCAGCGGCCCAGGGTGCTCCCTAGGGAGGCGAGTACCAGGGTGAGAGGAAGGCAGGGACTCGGGCGTCTCTGGGACGTCGCTGTCCGACAGACGCGCGGAGAGGGGCGAGGCGGGTGGGTTTGGGGTCCGTGGCGACACCTTCCAGCTTCGTAGCACCGACTCCCCCCGGGAACGTCCCCAGAGACCTGGCAGGCAACAAACTGACATTCCAACCAGGTGGGACCAGGCTGAGCACCGGCACGGCCCCGTGGCGAGTAACGGGCTGGGAGACACAGCAAACTCCCCAGCCTGGCCACGCACCCCCCAGCCAGGGCCCAGCGCCTGGCGGGGAAGGGACAGGAGCAAAGGGAGCTGCGTTGTGAGTCATGTTATCACCTCTGCCAGGGCGGGGATCAGCACACGGGCCTGGCTGCGCTGCTCTCCTGCGGGGCAGCCGCGGGGTCTGACGCAGGGCTCTGGCAGTGGGCACATGGAGGCCAAGTTTGTAAAGGAGAATAATCCCCCCAAGACAGACCCCTCCCAGCCAGTCAGTACCCCCAAGCCAGATTCTCCCTTCTCCTCTATAACTTGCCAGTCACCCCAGGACTGGTCCCTCTCTTTCCCTGTGGTTTATGGACTGTCCTGCCGCTCTCCCCCCACCGCCAAACAGCTGTGAGGCTAGAGAACGTAAGAATCAAAGAACGGCCACACCAGGTCAGACCAATGGTCCATCGAGCCCGGCAGACGCAGCGGCTAGTGCCAGGTGCTTCCGAGGGAATGAACAGAACAGGGCCATTATCACGGGATCTTTCGCTGCCATCCCCTCCCAGCCTCTGGCAGTCAGAGGTTTAGGGACACCCAGAACAGCAGGTTGTGTCCCTGCCCATCCTGGCTAATAGCCATTGATGGATCTATCCTCCCTGAACATATCTCATTCTTTTTGGAACCTCCTCCCCCAGCCAGCCCAGAGGTGAGATCAGGTGTATCCCCCGACCCCCAGCCAGGCCCGAGGCGAGATCAGATCCGGCAGCAGACCTGCTGCTGCCTTGCCCCAGCCTGCTCGGCGTCGACCCAAGCCCTTACCTGGGATATCTGACCCCGGATCCTTGCCAGCGAGGTGCGGCGCAGGGAGTCTTCCAGCCCTCGAGAAGTGCTGGGGGTCGGAAGCCCTAAAGGTGAGCCCCGGCCTGCGGGAGGCTCCAGGGCGTCCTCTCGGCAAACCCCATCTGCCGCGGGAGCCTGGGGGACGAAGGAGCTCGCTGTCACCGTGCACGTCCCAGGGTCCCAAGCGCTGCACCTGTGCGGCTGCCTCGTGCACCACCGCCAGGCACCAGGGCAGGAGCTTCCACTGCGGGGCAGGCAGAGCCCACGGGGCCAAACCGCCCGGCAGCCGCCCGCGCTCCGGGGAGCAGCTGCAGCTTTGTGCAGTGGGGCTCGTGACGGGTTGTGTGTCCACAGCACAGCCACGGGGGGGCCAGGGGGAGACGGGGGCAGAGAGAGCAGGGGAGCCACGGGACACCTGCTCGGGGATGGTGCTTGGACCGGACCTCACCCCCCTCCCTCACCTTCACACCCTGTGACGAAGTGGGACTGTTCTTAATGTTTCCTCTGAATAGTGGGGGGGTGCCTCAGTTTCCCCTAGGCAGTTCTTAAGTATCTAGGGGGTGGAGTAAGGGTGTATGATCATTGCAGAGCCCTAGAGGGCAGGTGTGTGCAGGAGTCTGGACACAGAGAATGGCCGACACCCTGTTTCCTGGCACCTGATGGCCTGGCCCCTTCCCCCTGCAAGGTGAGAGCTGAAGGGTTGGAGAACAAAGGAATCAGGTGACCACCTGGCCTGGGAAAGGAACAAAGCCCAGAGGAGGAGGGGCTGGAGGGGGTTTCAGTTTGGGGCTGGCTGGGACATGGAGTGAAGTGCAGACGTGGTTGTCTGGCTCACTACCCCCCAAAATGGACCCAGCTGAGGGGTCCCGTTCTCTGCACCTACAAGCTCTGTGTTAGACCATGTTCCTGTCGTCTAATAAACCTTCTGTTTTACTGGCTGGCTGAGAGTCACGTCTGACTGCGAAGTTGGGGTGCAGGACCCTCTGGCTTCCCCAGGAGCCCCGCCTGAGCGGACTGGCTGTGGGAAGCGCACGGAGGGGCAGAGGATGCTGAATGCTCCGAGGTCAGACCCAGGAAGGTGGAAGCTGTGTGAGCTGTGTGTCCTGAAGACAGGCTGCTCACAGAAAGGCGACTTCCCCAGAGTCCTGACTGGCTTCATGGGGAGCAGTTCCAGAGCATTGCCCAGGGACTCCGTGACACACCCCTACCCCCCGCACACCCCTACCCCCTCACGCACACACAGCCCTCACACCCCTACCCCCCTCACACATCCCCACACACCCCTATCCCCCACACCCCTCACATTCACACCCCTACCCCCCCACACATCCCTACACACCTATACCCCCCACACCCCTCACACCCCTACCCCCTCTCACACACCCCACACAACCCTACCCCCCACACCCCTACCCCCCTCACACACACACCCCTCACACTCACCCCCCATCCCCCTCACACTCACACCTCTACCCCCCCACACCCCTACCCCCTCACACACACCCCACACACCTCTCCCCCCTCACACATCCCCACACACCTATACCCCTCCACACCCCTCACACCCCTACCCCCTCACACACACCCCACACAACCCTACCCCCCACACCCCTACCCCCCTCACACATCCTCACACACCCCTATCCCCCACACCCCTCACATTCACACCCCTACCCCCCCCACAGCCCTCACACCCCTACCCCCTCACACACACCCCACACACCCCTATCCCACACACCTCTACCACCTCACGCAAACACGCCTCACACTCACACCCCCACCTCTACCCCCCACACCCCTACCCCCATACACCCCTCACACCGCTACCCCCCACACACAGACCCCTCACCTTCACACCCCTCACCCCCCCCACCCCCCCACACCCCTCACACCCCTACCCTTCCACACATACACGCCTTACACTCACACCCCTCACCTTCAAACTCCTACCCCCTCACACACACCCCTCACCGTCACAACCCATACCCCCCACACCCCTCACACACACCCCTCACCTTCACACCCCTACACCCACACACCCCTACTCCCCTCACACGCACACTCCTCACCTTCACACCCCTACCCCCTCACACACACTCGTATCCCCCACACCCTCCCCCTCACACACCTCTACCCCGCCACACACACACCCCTACCCCCTCACACCCCTCACACACACCCCTCCCCCCTCACACACACACCCTTACCTCCCCACCACATACTCCTACCCTCACACCCATACCCACACCTCTACCCCACCCACAAACACCTCACCCCCACTTCCCTCACCCACACCCCCACACTGCACACACCTGCTCCTAACCCTGCCCCCCACCCCCCACGTGCTCCACACCCTCATCCCCACATGCCCCTCACTCCTGCCCCCACTTCTCTCACCACCCACACCCCCTTCACCTCATCAATCCCAGCCCACACCCTCACTCCCTCTACAGACACACAAACCCCAACCCCCTCATCCCTTCCCCACACACACCCGCCCTCCTGCCACCCCTCACCCCCAATCCATTTCAACCCAGTGAGGCCCCAGAGGGCAACCAAGCGACAGCCCCTCGAGTCTCTGCCAGAGATGGGTCCAACCCGCCCAGAACGGGGCGACTGGCTGGGGTGGGCTGTGGGGCCCTGGGCCCGTGGCCAGCAGAGTCTATTCCTGATCCCGTGACCGGCTGCTACACACACCCCTGCCAGCGCTCGCCCGGCCACGACACCCCAGCCAGCCCCTGCCTGATGCACCCGGCCCCACTGGCACTGCCAGACACTCAATCACGGCCGTCTACACACCGGCCCGGCCCCACAGCCTGCCTCCCCACGCCTGTTCCCCAAAGACGGGCTCCATTACGGGTGTGCCAGCGGCCCAGGGTGCTCCCTAGGGAGGCGAGTACCAGGGTGAGAGGAAGGGAGGGACTCGGGCGTCTCTGGGACGTCGCTGTCCGACAGACGCGCGGAGAGGGGCGAGGCGGGTGGGTTTGGGGTCCGTGGCGACACCTTCCAGCTTCGTAGCACCGACTCCCCCCGGGAACGTCCCCAGAGACCTGGCAGGCAACAAACTGACATTCCAACCAGGTGGGACCAGGCTGAGCACCGGCACGGCCCCGTGGCGAGTAACGGGCTGGGAGACACAGCAAACTCCCCAGCCTGGCCACGCACCCCCCAGCCAGGGCCCAGCGCCTGGCGGGGAAGGGACAGGAGCAAAGGGAGCTGCGTTGTGAGTCATGTTATCATCTCCTCCAGGGCGGGGATCAGCACACGGGCCTGGCTGCGCTGCTCTCCTGCGGGGCAGCCGCGGGGTCTGACGCAGGGCTCTGGCAGTGGGCACATGGAGGCCAAGTTTGTAAAGGAGAATAATCCCCCCAAGACAGACCCCTCCCAGCCAGTCAGTACCCCCAAGCCAGATTCTCCCTTCTCCTCTATAACTTGCCAGTCACCCCAGGACTGGTCCCTCTCTTTCCCTGTGGTTTATGGACTGTCCTGCCGCTCTCCCCACACCGCCAAACAGCTGTGAGGCTAGAGAACGTAAGAATCAAAGAACGGCCACACCAGGTCAGACCAATGGTCCATCGAGCCCGGCAGGCGCAGCGGCCAGTGCCAGGTGCTTCCGAGGGAATGAACAGAACAGGGCCATTATCACGGGATCATTGACACGGGAATTGGCGGCTGTGATTGCAGAGCCATTGGCCATTATCTTTGAAAACTCGTGGCGAACGGGGGAAGTCCCGGATGACTGGAAAAAGGCTAATGTAGTGCCAATTTTTAAAAAAGGGAAGAAGGAGGATCCTGGGAACTACAGGCCAGTCAGCCTCACCTCAGTCCCTGGAAAAATCATGGAGCAGGTCCTCAAAGAATCAATCCTGAAGCACTTGCATGAGAGGAAAGTGATCAGGAACAGCCAGCATGGATTCACCAAGGGAAGGTCATGCCTGACTAATCTAATCGCCTTTTATGATGAGATTACTAGTTCTGTGGATGAAGGGAAAGCAGTGGATGTATTGTTTCTTGACTTTAGCAAAGCTTTTGACACGGTCTCCCACAGTATTCTTGTCAGCAAGTTAAGGAAGTATGGGCTGGATGAATGCACTATAAGGTGGGTAGAAAGCTGGCTAGATTGTCGGGCTCAACGAGTAGTGATCAATGGTTCCATGTCTAGTTGGCAGCCGGTATCAAGTGGAGTGCCCCAAGGGTTGGTCCTGGGGCCGGTTTTGTTCAATATCTTCATAAATGATCTGGAGGATGGTGTGGATTGCACTCTCCGCAAATTTGCGGATGATACTAAACTGGGAGGAGTGGTAGATACGCTGGAGGGGAGGGATAGGATACAGAAGGACCTAGACAAATTAGAGGATTGGGCCAAAAGAAATCTGATGAGGTTCAATAAGGATAAGTGCAGGGTCCTGCACTTAGGACGGAAGAACCCAATGCACAGCTACAGACTAGGGACCGAATGGCCAGGCAGCAGTTCTGCGGAAAAGGACCTAGGGGTGACAGTGGACGAGAAGCTGGATATGAGTCAGCAGTGTGCCCTTGTTGCCAAGAAGGCCAATGGCATTTTGGGATGTATAAGTAGGGGCATAGCGAGCAGATCGAGGGACGTGATCGTTCCCCTCTATTCAACATTGGTGAGGCCTCATCTGGAGTACTGTGTCCAGTTTTGGGCCCCACACTTCAAGAAGGATGTGGATAAATTGGAGAGAGTCCAGCGAAGGGCAACAAAAATGATTAGGGGTCTGGAACACATGAGTTATGAGGAGAGGCTGAGGGAGCTGGGATTGTTTAGCCTGCAGAAGAGAAGAATGAGGGGGGATTTGATAGCTGCTTTCAACTACCTGAAAGGGGGTTCCAAAGAGGATGGCTCTAGACTGTTCTCAATGGTAGCAGATGACAGAACGAGGAGTAATGGTCTCAAGTTGCAGTGGGGGAGGTTTAGATTGGATATTAGGTAAAACTTTTTCACTAAGAGGGTGGTGAAACACTGGAATGCGTTACCTAGGGAGGTGGTAGAATCTCCTTCCTTAGAGGTTTTTAAGGTCAGGCTTGACAAAGCCCTGGCTGGGATGATTTAACTGGGATTTGGTCCTGCTTCGAGCAGGGGGTTGGACTACATGACCTTCTGGGGTCCCTTCCAACCCTTATATTCTATGATTCTATGATTCGCTGCCATCCCCTCCCAGCTTCTGGCAGTCAGAGGTTTAGGGACACCCAGAACAGCAGGTTGTGTCCCTGCCCATCCTGGCTAATAGCCATTGATGGATCTATCCTCCCTGAACATATCTCATTCTTTTTGGAACCTCCTCCCCCAGCCAGCCCAGAGGTGAGATCAGGTGTATCCCCCGACCCCCAGCCAGGCCCGAGGCGAGATCAGATCCGGAAGCAGACCTGCTGCCTTGCCCCAGCCTGCTCGGCATTCATCCAAGCCCTTACCTGGGATATCTGACTCCGGATCCTTGCCAGCGAGGTGCGGCGCAGGGAGTCTTCCAGCCCTCGAGAAGTGCTGGGGGTTGGAAGCCCTAAAGGTGAGCCCCGGCCTGCGGGAGGCTCCAGGGCGTCCTCTCGGCAAACCCCATCTGCCGCGGGAGCCTGGGGGACAAAGGAGCTCGCTGTCACCGTGCACATCCCAGGTCCCACGCGCTGCACCTGTGCGGCTGCCTCGTGCACCACCGCCAGGCACCAGGGCAGGAGCTTCCACTGCGGGGCAGGCAGAGCCCACGGGGCCAAACCGCCCGGCAGCCGCCCGCGCTCCGGGGAGCAGCTGCAGCTTTGTGCAGTGGGGCTCGTGACGGGTTGTGTGTCCACAGCACAGCCACGGGGGGCCAGGGGGAGACGGGGGCAGAGAGAGCAGGGGAGCCACGGGACACCTGCTCGGGGATGGTGCTTGGACCGGACCTCACCCCCCTCCCTCACCTTCACACCCCTACCCCCCACACACCCCTACCCCCTCACGCACACAGCCCTCACACCCCTACCTCTCACACATCCCCACACACCTATACCCCCCACACCCCTACCCCCTCTCACACACCCCACACAACCCTACCCCCCACACCCCTACCCCCCTCACACACACACCCCTCACACTCACCCCCCATCCCCCTCACACTCACACCTCTACCCCCCCACACCCCTAACCCCTCACACACACCCCACACACCTCTACCCCCTCACACACCCCTCACACCCCTACCCCCCTCACACACACCCCACACAACCCTACCCCCCACAGCCCTACCCCCTCACGTACACACGCCTCACACTCACACCCCTACCCCCCACACTCCTCACACTCACACCTCTACCCCTCACACACACTCCCCTCACCTTCACACCCCTACTCCCCACACACCTCACACCCCTACCCCTCCACACACACCCCTACCCCCACACCCCTCACACTCACACCCCTCACACCCCTACCCCCTCACCTTCACATCCCTCGCCTTCACACCCCTAGCCCCACACACACCCATTACACCCCTACCCCCTCCACACACACACACCGCTACCCCTACCCCCCCCCCCCCACACCGCTCACCTTCACACTCCTACCCTCTCACACACTCACCCTCACACTCCTACACCCACATACCCCTACTCCCCTCATACTCACACCCCTCACCTTCACACTCCTACTTCCCACACACACAGCCCTCACACCCCTCTACCTCCCCCACAACCCCTCACCCCTCCCCCCACAACCCCACCCCTCACCTTCACACCCCTATCCCCACATACCCCTCACACCCCTCACATTCACACTCCCACCTTCACACCCCTACCCCCCACACCCCCACACACCCCTACTCCCCTACCCCCTCACTCTCACACCCATCACCTTCACACCCCTACCCCCCCACACCCCTTACCTTCACAACCTTACCCCCTCACACACGCCAACCCCCTCACACACAACCCTACCTCCCTCACACTCCTACCCCCCCACCCCTCACACTCACACCCCTACCCCCCACCCCTCACACACACACCCCTACCACCCCACACACCCCTACCTCCTCACACACTCCTACCTTCGCACCCTTACCCCCTCACACACTCCTCACACATACACCCCTACCCCCTCACACACACAGACCCTTCATCCTCACGCCCCTACCCCCACACTCCTACCCCCTCACACACACCCTTACCCCCCTCACCTTCACACCCCTCACCCTCACACCCGTACCCCCTCACACACACACACACACACCCTCACTCTCACTCCCCTACCCCCCCACCTGTCACCCTCACACCCTACCTCCCCTCACTCACACACCCCTCCCCCCACACACACCTCACTCCTACCACCCCCCAATATATTTTAATTCCATGGGACTCTTGGCACGACCAGCCCCACAGGAGACCCCAGAGGGCAACCAAGCGACAGCCCCTCAGGTCTCTGCCAGAGATGGGTCCGACCCGCCCAGAACGGGGCGACTGGCTGGGGTGGGCTGTGGGGCCCTGGGCCCGTGGCCAGCAGAGTCTATTCCTGATCCCGTGACCGGCTGCTACACACACCCCTGCCAGCGCTCGCCCGGCCACGACACCCCAGCCAGCCCCTGCCTGACGCACCCGGCCCCACTGGCACTGCCAGACACTGAATCGCGGCCGTCTACACACCGGCCCGGCCCCACAACCGCAGCCCCACTGCCCCGCTCCAAAGACAACATGTCACGGAGTCCCTGGGCGATGCTCTGGAACTGCTCCCCATGAAGCCAGTCAGGACTCTGGGGCAGTCGCCTTTCTGTGAGCAGCCTGTCTTCAGGACACACAGCTCACACAGCTTCCACCTTCCTGGGTCTGACCTCGGAGCATTCAGCATCCTCTGCCCCTCCGTGCGCTTCCCACAGCGAGTCCGCTCAGGCGGGGCTCCTGGGGAAGCCAGAGGGTCCTGCACCCCAACTTCGCAGTCAGACGTGACTCTCAGCCAGCCAGTAAAACAGAAGGTTTATTAGACGACAGGAACATGGTCTAAAACAGAGCTTGCAGGTGCAGAGAACGGGACCCCTCAGCTGGGTCCATTTTGGGGGGGCAGTGAGCCAGACAACCACGTCTGCACTTCACTCCATGTCCCAGCCAGCCCCAAACTGAAAACCCCCTCCAGCCCCTCCTCCTCTGGGCTTTTTCCTTTCCCGGGCCAGATGGTCACCTGATTCCTTTGTTCTCCAACCCTTTAGCTCTCACCTTGCAGGGGGAAGGGCCCAGGCCATCAGTTGCCAGGAAACAGGGTGTCGCATTCTCTGTGTCCAGACTCCTGCACACCCTCCCTCTAGGGCTCTGCAATGATCATACACCCTTACTCCACCCCCAGATACTTAAGAACTGCCTAGGGGAAACTGAGGCACCCCCACACTATTCAGAGGAAACGTTAAGAACAGTCCCACTTCGTCACATCTCTCCCCCCTTCGAGATGGAACTGAGCGGGGTCCTTTAGCCGGTGACCTGGGGAAGTTCAAGCCACCAACGTTCCCATGGATGCATCTCTCCCATCATGCATCTCTCCCAGCATCTCTCCCATTCCTTGGTAGGAGTTACACCAGGCCCTTCCAGTTTCACGCCCTCCCTTAGGTCAGGGTGGTCGATAGCCTGCATAGTACTCGCAGGCCCATGTGGGAAGGTTTATGCAGCCCATGCCCTTTGGCCACCCCAAGAATGTCTCCCCATTGACCATCACCTTCTGCTCCCACTGAGGTCCGGGGGCCTGGCCCCAGGAAACTCCACACGACATATAGGTTGGGGTCAGGAGTGGGAGCTGTCCACATCCCCAACCATCTGGCTGACGGTCTATGGCCTTGGGACCCAGCAAGGGAGCTAGACACCGGGGCTTTTCCGCAGGGTCCCCTTGGTTCAAATCGCCAGCCTGCCCAAAGGCAGTGAGGTGGGCATCCACACACCCCCTCCTTAACCAGGGGCAGCAATTTAGTCTCGAGGTTCCCTGCAACTGGCCCCCGGGATCTATCCCCACTCACCCATGAGGCCCCTAGGTCTCTCCGCTCCCCACCGCCAGTTCTGCTGCTGCCTTCTGCAGCTCTTTCTCGGGCTCTCGCTGTCTCCCACGGCCTCTTGCTCTCTCAGACTCAGCTCCAATCCCGTCCGTCTCGATCCCCCGATGGGGAACCCGATCGTGAAGACCCTCGTCTGGTCGGGACAGGAGTCTTGGCATGCCTGGCTCCCGCTTCAGCTGCTCCCAGATCCTGCTATAGCCCCAGTTGGGGTCAGGAATCTGTTCCTTAGAGCGGTCATCCTCCTCCAGCTGCACGATTAACTCTGCTTTGGTGAACTTTCCAACGCTCAACCCTCTCTTTTTGCACAGGGTTACAATGTCCTTCTTAAGGAGACAGTGACAGGCCATCACTCCGCTCTTCCCAAGTTGTTGTGGACTCACAGGCCCGTGTGTTCTCAGCTCCCCACGGTTTCCAGGGAGAACCCCTAGTGTGGCAGCCCTTCTGAGGTCACCCCTCTTTGCCAGGGTCGAGCTGCACTCTCCGCCCCTTAGTGCTCGCTGCAATCCCCAGGGGAACCCTGTTACTGCACGTCCTTCTGTGGTCACACACTCCCAGGGGTTAACCGCCCCCGAAACCGCTCTCTCTGAGCCTTCAGCAGGCCTGGTCCTCGCGTCCCCCTTCGTGTTACTGCTCCCCAGTCACTTACTGCAGGAAGCACCATCCACGGGGTGCAGTACATCCCACCGCTGCCACCAGTTGTCACGGAGTCCCTGGGCTGCTCTGGAACTCTCCCCATGAACCAGTCAGGACTCTGGGGCGTCGCCTTTCTGTGAGCAGCCTGTCTTCAGGACACACAGCTCACACAGCTTCCACCTTCCTGGGTCTGACCTCGGAGCATTCAGCATCCTCTGCCCCTCCGTGCCTTCCCACAGCGAGTCCGCCAGGCGGGGCTCCTGGGGAAGCCAGAGGGTCCTGCACCCCAACTTCGCAGTCAGACGTGACTTCAGCCAGCCAGTAAAACAGAAGGTTTATTAGACGACAGAACATGGTCTAAAACGAGCTTGCAGGTGCAGAGAACGGGACCCCTCAGCTGGGTCCATTTTGGGGGCGTGACCAACAACCACGTCTGCACTTCACTCCATGTCCCAGCCAGCCCCAAACTGAAAACCCCCTCCAGCCCCTCCTCCTCTGGGCTTTGTTCCTTTCCCGGGCCAGATGGTCACCTGATTCCTTTGTTCTCCAACCCTTTAGCTCTCACCTTGCAGGGGGGAAGGGCCCAGGCCATCAGTTGCCAGGAAACAGGGTGTCCTTCTCTGTGTCCAGACTCCTGCACACACCTGCCCTCTAGGGCTCTGCAATGATCATACACCCTTACTCCACCCCCAGATACTTAAGAACTGCCTAGGGGAAACTGAGGCACCCCCACACTATTCAGAGGAAACGTTAAGAACAGTCCCACTTCGTCACACAACACCCCGCTGCGCTGCCTGAGGCAGACAGAGCCACTGCCCCCCACAGTCAGAGAGCCGGAAAGGAATCGTGGTGAGAAAAGCAGAGTGGGGGGCAGGGACTGGAAAGAGCCAGGGGGCCCCGAAGGCTCTCAGGACCCAGGGGCGCCCAGCTCCTGCGTAGCCCCATGCTCAGTGCACTGGGGCAGGTCACCTCTCCACTTAGAGTGGAGACAGCGCAGCCTGGTGCTGGGAGCACAGGCCTGGGAGACAGGAGCGCTCCCGGAGTCCGGGCATGGCTCCGACAAGCCCATGCATCACCGTGCCCATCTGTGCCATGGCGCCAGCCCTGTGGGAGAGCTGTGGGCCCTTGGCAGGGACAGGGCTGCACTCAGATGACCCACCAGCATGGTGGCATGTGTTTACCTTGATCAGCGGACGTTCCGCGTCCTCCTCGGCACCCTCAGGGAAGGCCCCTAGGAACATGTGAGAAGCAGCCAGGCCGTAGAGTTTCGGTACCAGTGGGCCAAGGAGACAGGCCTCCAGAATCACGTCTGCATCAAAGGAATCGGTGTGGGGGATCTGCGTGGAAAGGCAGGGAGGGAGCCGTCAGCCAGCTCTGCCTTCACCACGGGCACCAGCTGAAATCTGCCTGCAGCACCAGGCTGCATGGTGAGGCACTCAGCCTGGAGGGGGCCCGGGCGGCCACCCACACCCTGTGCTCTCCACGCCCCACACGTCGGCTTGGCACTGCCTCGAGGCGCTCATGGCAGAGCGTGCCACCCCCTGCAAGCGGGCCTCACGCACCACACACTCAGCTTCCCCATGGAGGGTGTTTCGAATACCTCCAGCTGAGCACAATAGGGCCAGCTCCCCAGCGAGCCTTGTGCTCCCGACACACAGACTCTGTAAAGTGCAAGCTGGCCTGCATGTTGTGGGCTCGCACCAGAGCATCTCTTTCCCCCCCTCCCCGGGGGGGCAGTCACCGTCACGACACAGCCATCGGTTTCAGTCCCAAGTAACTATGCTTAGTACAAACGGCCACACTGGGTCAGACCAATGGCCAGGCAGCCCCGTTTCCTGTCTTCCAACAGTGGTGGGGGCCAGAGGCTTCAGAGGGAATGAACAGAACAGGGAATCATCAAGTGATCCATCCCCTGTCGCCCATTCCCAGCTTCTGGCAATCAGAGGTTTAGGGACACCCAGACCGTGGGGTTGCATCCCTGACCATCTTGGTCAACAGACATTGGTCCTCCACGAATTTATCTATTTTTTTTAACCCAGTTATAGTTTTGGGCTTCACAATGTCCCCTGACAATGAGTTCCACAGGTTGACTGTGTGTTGTGTGAAGAAATACTTCCTTTGGTTTGTTTTAAACCTGCTGCCTTTTAATTTCATCGGATGACCCCTGTTTTGTATGTTATGAGAAGGGGTTAATAACACTTCCTTATTCACCTTCTCCACCCCAGTCATGATTTTACAGACCTGTATCTTATCCCCCCTTAGTCGTCTCTTTTCCAAGCTGAAAAGTCCCAGTCTTTAATCTTTCTGCATATGGAATCTGTTTCATACCCCTAATCATTTTTGTTGCCCTTTTCTGAACCTTTTCCAGTTCTCGTATATCTTTTTTGAGATGGGGTGAACAGATCTGCATACAGCATTCAAGATGTGGGCGTACCAGGGATTTATATAGTACCATTATGATATATTTCAGAGTAACAGCCGTGTTAGTCTGTATTCGCAAAAAGAAAAGGAGTACTTGTGGCACCTTAGAGACTAACCAATTTATTTGAGCATGAGCTTTCGTGAGCTACAGCTCACTTCATCAGATGCATCCCTCATGCTCAAATAATTTTTTTTTTATTTTTTATGGAAGATGTTAGAAGTTAGGAAACTGTCAGATAATAAGACAGAATATATCATAATGAAAAGGAGTACTTGTGGCACCTTAGAGACTAACCAATTTATTTGAGCATGAGCTTTCGTGAGCTACAGCTCACTTCATCAGATGCAGACCGTGGAAACTGCAGCAGACTTTATATACACACAGAGAATATGAAACAATACCTCCTCCCACCCCACTGTCCTGCTGGTAATAGCTTTATCTAAAGTGATCATCAGGTGGGCCATTTCCAGCACAAATCCAGGTTTTCTCACCCTCCACCCCCCCACACAAATTCACTCTCCTGCTGGTGCTAGCCCATCCAAAGTGACAACTCTTTACATAATCAAGTCGGGCTATTTCCTGCATAAATCCAGGTTTTCTACATCCCCCCCACCCCCATACACACACAAACTCACTCTCCTGCTGGTAATAGCTCATCTAAACTGACCACTCTCCAAGTTTAAATCCAAGTTAAACCAGAACATCTGGGGGGGGGGTAGGAAAAAACAAGAGGAAACAGGCTACCTTGCATAATGACTTAGCCACTCCCAGTCTCTATTTAAGCCTAAATTAATAGTATCCAATTTGCAAATGAATTCCAATTCAGCAGTTTCTCGCTGGAGTCTGGATTTGAAGTTTTTGTTTTAAGATAGCGACCTTCATGTCTGTGATTGCGTGACCAGAGAGATTAAGTGTTCTCTGACTGGTTTATGAATGTTAGAATTCTTGACATCTGATTTGGGTCCATTTATTCTTTTAGTAGAGACTGTCCAGTTTGACCAATGTACATGGCAGAGGGATTTGCACATGATGGCATATATCACATTGGTGGATGTGCAGGTGAACGAGCCTCTGATAGTGTGGCTGATGTAATTAGGGCCTAATCACATCAGCCACACTATCAGAGGCTCGTTCACCTGCACATCCACCAATGTGATATATGCCATCATGTGCCAGCAATGCCCCTCTGCCATGTACATTGGTCAAACTGGACAGTCTCTACGTAAAAGAATAAATGGACACAAATCAGATGTCAAGAATTATAACATTCATAAACCAGTCGGAGAACACTTCAATCTCTCTGGTCACGCAATCACAGACATGAAGGTCGCTATCTTAAAACAAAAAAACTTCAAATCCAGACTCCAGCGAGAAACTGCTGAATTGGAATTCATTTGCAAATTGGATACTATTAATTTAGGCTTAAATAGAGACTGGGAGTGGCTAAGTCATTATGCAAGGTAGCCTGTTTCCTCTTGTTTTTTCCTACCCCCCCCCCCCCCCCCAGATGTTCTGGTTTAACTTGGATTTAAACTTGGAGAGTGGTCAGTTTAGATGAGCTATTACCAGCAGGAGAGTGAGTTTGTGTGTGTATGGGGGTGGGGGGGATGTAGAAAACCTGGATTTATGCAGGAAATAGCCCGACTTGATTATGTAAAGAGTTGTCACTTTGGATGGGCTAGCACCAGCAGGAGAGTGAATTTGTGTGGGGGGGTGGAGGGTGAGAAAACCTGGATTTGTGCTGGAAATGGCCCACCTGATGATCACTTTAGATAAGCTATTACCAGCAGGACAGTGGGGTGGGAGGAGGTATTGTTTCATATTCTCTGTGTATATATAAAGTCTGCTGCAGTTTCCACGGTATACATCTGATGAAGTGAGCTGTAGCTCACGAAAGCTCATGCTCAAATAAATTGGTTAGTCTCTAAGGTGCCACAAGTCCTCCTTTTCTTTCCACTTGTTTACCTGTTGCTGCACACTAAGTGGATGTTTTCAGAGAACTCTCCACAATGACTCCAAGATCTTTCTTGATTGGGAACAGCTAATTTAGACCCCATCATTGTATATGTATAGTTGGGATGATGCTTTTCAATGTGCATTACTTTGCATTTATCAACACTGAATTTCATCTGCCATTTGGTTGCCCAGTCACCCAGTTTTGTGAGATCCCTTTGTAGCTCTTTGCAGTCTGCCTGGGACCTAACTATCTTGAGTGCTTTTATATCATCTGCAAATTTTGCCACCTCACTGTTTATCCCTTTTTTCAGATCACTTATGAATATGTTAAATAGGACTGGGCCAAGTACAGGCCCCTGGGGGACACCACTATTTACCTCTCTTCATTCTGAAAACTGACCATTTATTCCTACTCTTTGTTTCGTGTCTTTTAACCAGCTGCTGATCCATGAGAGGACCTTCCCTCTTATCCCATGAGAGCTTACTTTGCTGAAGAGCTGGATCACCCTCATGCACATGCTTGTTGACCCCCTTAAAAAATTCTAGTAGATTGGGGAGGCAGGATTTCCCTTTACAAAAACCATGTTGACTCTTCCCCAACAAATCGTGTTCATGTGTGTGTCTGATAATTCTGTTCGTGACTATAGTTTCAACCAATTTGCCTACTACTCAAGTTTGGCTCACTGGCCTGTAATTGCTGGGATCGCCTCTGGAGCCTTTTTTAAAAATTGGCATCACATTAACTATGCTCCAGTCATCTGGTTCAAAAGCTGATTTAAATGAGAGGTTATATACCACAGTTAATAGTTCTGCAATTTCACACTTGAGTGCTTTCAGAACTCTTGGGTGATACCATCTGGTCCTGGTGACTTATTCCTGTTTAGTTTATCAATTTGTTCCCAAAACCTCCTCCACTGACACCTCAATCTGGGACAGTTTCTCAGATTTAACACCTAAAAGGAATGGCTCAAATGTGGGAATCTCCCTCACATCCTCAGCTGTGAAGACCGATGCAAAGAATTCATGTAGCTTCTCTGCAATGGCCTTATCCCCCTTGAGTGCTCCTTTGGCACCTCGATCGTCCAGTGGCCCCACTGGCTGTTTGGCAGCTTCCTGCTTCTGATGTTGTTAAAAAAAACCTGCTATTAGTTTTTTGTCTTTTGCTAGTTGCTCTTCACATTCTTTTTTGGCCGGCCTAAGTAGCCTTCACACTTAACTTGCCAGGGTTCATGCGCCTTTTTATCTTCCCCGCTGGGATTTGACTTCCAACTTTTAAAGGATGCCTTTTTGCCTCTACTCTGTTGTTTAGCCACGGTGGCACTTTTTTGGTTTTTATTCATACTTTTTTAAGTAGGGGGATACATTTAATTTGAGCCTTTATTATGTTGTTTTTTTAAAAACGTTTCTATGCAGCTTGCAGGGATTTCACTTTTGGGACCGTGCCTTTTAATTTCTGTTTTACTCGCTTCCTCATTTTTTTGTAGTTCTCTTTTCTGAAACTAAATGCTACCATGGTGGGCTGCTGTGGTGTTTCCCCTCCCCCCACCCCCCAGGGATGTTAAATTTAATTACATTATGGTCACTATCACCAAGTAGTTCAGCTGTAGTCATCTTTTGGACCAGATCCTGTGCTCCACAAGAGCGGCCTCTCCCCTTGTGGGTTCCTGGGCTAGCTGCTCCAAGGAGCAGCCATTTCATGTGTCTAGAAACTTTATCTCAGCATCCTGTCCTGAGGTCGCATTTCCCAAGTCAGTATGGGGACAGTTGAAATCCCTCATTATTACTGAGTTTTCTATTCTTATAGCCTCTCTAATCTCCCTGAGCATTTCATAGTCACTCTCACCAACCTGGTCAGGTGGTCAGTAATAGATCCCTACAGCTACGTTCTTATTATTCAAGCATGGAATTACTATCCATAGAGATTCTACAGTACTGTTAGATTCATTTAAGATTTTTACT